TTAAGAAAGGTGTTTTTGTGTTGTAATATATAAACTATAGGCTCTCATTTATAATACAAATCAGGCTAATATAATTTTCTGAGAAATATCGAAAATTTGGTAATGTAATTTTGTATGAAGTAAAGGTTTCTAGAGACAAAAATTACCAATTCTTTTAATTATTTTAATATTTTTCAACAGATTAATGCAATGTGGGTCATTTAGCGAGAGCTTACTAGTGAAATAGAGATAATAAGAGCATTTTAAAATTTGTGTCGCTTTTCTTTTTTACATGGAATGACCCACGCGTATGTTTTTAGAATTTTGACAACCTTTTTTAACTAAGCAATTAAATTTGCTAGCAAGCAGTTTCCACAACACTTTTTCTGTTTTACATTCTAATTTCGTGCAATCAGTACACGTACATCCGTAGGAAAAACAACAAACAATTTTATCACAGACGGAAAAACACGAAAAAAAATATTGACTGCTGTCTATAAAATCATTTCAAAAATCACTATACTAGCAATTAAAATTGTGGTTTTTACGCAATTTATAGCAGTTCAAAAAAGGTAATTAATTATCTTGACTGGCGGCACATTTGCGTGCGGAAAAGTTAATGCACACACACAAAGTCATCTCGATGTACATATGTATGTACTTATAAACGATATGGAGTAGCGCATTATGTTTTGCTTTTGTGTTATTTTTGTTTTTCATTTCACTTGTTAATATAAGTATGCATTAAAATTACCACAGAACAGCGCGAAATTCAATACATACCTACTAATGATAGCTTTTGAAACAACCACATATACATATGAAAATGTTAATAACGAATTATTCTGAAGTTGAAATAAAAATAATATCAACATACTTATTTATGTAAGTAGTTTAAAATTTCAGTTTATTTGTGTTATTTCACAGTAAATAAAAAAATATATAAAACTAAAATAATTTCCCAGCTAAATAAAGTGGCAGTTTAGATAAATTAAATATAATTGCTTGTCTATAAAAATTATTTTTTTATAATTTGCTTCAATTGACTGACACATGTTATTTATTTCGTGTCATAGCGAGAATTGCTGGAGTGTGAAATTCATTGCGACTATAATTTTTCAACAAATCTATGTATCTATTTACTATATATAAATCTCAAATGTGCCATTTTATTTAATCGATTTACTATATATGCATATATATAAGCCCAAATATTTAGCGCAACACATAAGCTAATTTTTTTCCCCAAAATTTTACTCCATTGATGGCGTCGCACAGTAGTCTGGGAGCGGCAAAAACCCACTTTTTCTAGGTGGTTAGAAAATTGAAATTAACCTTATCTTCTTCTTCTTATTTAATAGCACTGAAGCTGACTCTTTCCTATCTTAAGGTAGAAGTAATGGTTTTAGATAAATTTTGGCCACTTCATAGTCACACGCGCTAAAGCTTTCAAAAGCTCTATGTACAATTGGTATACGGCGGGCACAAAGAAGAGAAACAGCTGCCCAGGAACGTTGAAAAGCTCGGAGCGAGATATATGCTATCCTTAACAAACAATCCTTTGGGCATGGTTCGAAACTTGAAAGGTGTTCTGCGCAAAAATACTGTGGCCCCTGATCTAGTTTAGTCTAGACAAAACTAGTTTGTCCTAAGATCGGGTTTGGTCGGTAACATATACATACATACGTATAACACAGCACAACAATGGACAAATGCGGAACCACAAAACAATCTCTCAGCAAAGTTGATAAATATTAATTAAGTAATCACAGAATGAGACAAGGAATTTATAAATACTAATTATAAGAATTATAAATAAAATGAATGCGGTGACAAATAAAACCAAGAATTAACGCGAAACCAAGCGTGGCATCACAGCTAAAGTGTAAGATGTTTTCTTTGATATTTTTGCTGTTCACATTTTTGTTGGCTCTTAGTTGCTTTTATTTATTCTTTCACTTAGTATGCGGGCGCCATGGTTGAGTGGTTAGAGGTACATACTACCACTAGGTAGGTTCCGGATTCGATCTCTGGTCCGATCAACATCTATTGCCATGTATTTCTCCTCGGAAAAAAAAGCTTCTCATTAAACCCATTTGCCGTGCGGAGGTAGCGTAGAAGTCTAGGTTCTTCCTTTTCGTGTGGCAAAATCAAGGCGCAAACCAAAAATCGGAGGAGAAGCTCGGCCAAGCAATAGTAAATGTGTAAGCGCCAAATATTTATTTATTATTTAGCTAGTAAATATGCCCAGTGAGATACCAATGAAGACGGTAGACTGGCGTAGTCACCAACCCACTACGCAGCGGACAGCCAGTCTATTAGGCAATCAGTCATTTAGTGAGACGGTAATTTAGTCGCTTCGACTGTGGATAGAGCCACTAGATATTTGTACATATGCTTGTAATCACATACGTGCATATGTACAGTGGTGGTCAGAGAAATCAAACGATGCTGTACAAATGCATCTATAAAAAAAATGTAATTCGAAATATCTCTTGTTTTCGGGAACACCAATTTTCCTAAAATTTCTTGAAAACCCACTTTTTTTGCTAAAGAGCGATTGTATGTATCAATTTTGAATAAATATTGATGAACTCCTTAGCCACACTGCCCAAAAACTGTGAAAGTCCGGTACATAAAAAATTTAAATTTAAGGCCGTATTTGAGAAAAGTCGTCCAAATTCAACAATTTTTATGCGATTGCAATAAATGAGGTATCAGTTTGTTTGAAAATAGATGTGATTTTAGATCGTACTCCATATTTGGAAATTGTAGAAATTATCGATAGTCAAAATTTAAAAAAATAAGAGAAATATGGGTATTTTTTTAATGTACCCGATAAAAAATCCCAACAAGCCTAGTCCGACAATACATTATTATATACCATTTTAAGGGCCTATATAGCCTCTTCTCAGATCATATTCGATCTTTGAAATCGAATCAAAAATAGTCATTCCAAAACTCATAAATCTACAAAATCCTATTTTCTGACCTAAATCGACAGGTCGCGACCTCTAAATGATCTTTAAAAAATCTATAAAAATAGGCAATAATAGTTCTTATAAAAACGAATAAAATTATGGGGTAGGGTCTTGAAATTTCCACAAAAGCATTTTTGATGGGATGGGATGTCTATAAATTATAGATATTAGAAATATATGGGGGGTCTTTATTTCAGCAACAGAAGTCAAATCAACAATTATTTGAATTTTTGTCTGTCTGTCTGTCTTTCCGTATGTTTGTACGCGCATCACTCGAAAACTAATGCATGGAATTGAATGCAGTTTCCCCGATGCGTTGCTAGAGGTCTAACTTAAAATATAGAAATAAAAAAACTTGAGAGTTGCCACCTGTTTGCAAAATGAAGTTTAAGATAAAGCAAATATTGTAATATGGCTGCTAAAAGAGAGGGTTTAAGAAAGCTTACAGCCGAAAATATTTTTGTTGAAGGTTGCCATCTGATTTTTAATTTTTTTACATTTTAATTTTAATCAAATTTAATTGGTATGATACACTGAATATCAAACTGAAGAGGTTTAGCAAATTTTACTGCCGAAAATATTTTTTTAACAGGGTTGCCACCTGTTTGAAAAATTTATCGTTTCTTATTCAAAATCTAACCCTTAATCTTAATCCTAGTCTTAATCTTAATCTTATTCTTAATCTCGAACTTAGCCTTAATACTAATCTTAAAATTAATCCTTGCCTTAATCTTAGTCTTAACTTAAGTCTTGATCTTAACGTTTTCCTTATTAAATGATTGAATTTAACTTTTTCACAGGTGGCAAGTCCTTTTGAGAAAATATCGAAGAACGAGTTCAATTTTTGTACAGATGGCAACTTTTTTTCGAAAAAATAAAACCTTATTGCACAGCGTCTGGCCACACTTTTTGATTAAGCAGCTCACTTTTGAAAATCGAACGAACGGTGCAGATCTAATGCGATGTACAAAAAATGCCTTCGCATATTGTATAGTATCTACATATATATAGATATACATAAATCCTAATCTTAATGTTGATCTTCATACTTTAAATCGTACCCAACCACCCCCGTCATTCCCTACCTTCGTCTATCGCTTTTTCTCTTCTTTCGAGCTTGAAATTAGAGTTCAACGAGTGTGTCGCTGTTTCCTTCCATCGATATTTGATTTAACTCCCAACCGAACGCAAAAAAGTTTCACTTCAAAAGAAAGTAGAAAGCAGTAATATGTATCAGATGTGTAGAAAATCTATCAATAACTGTAGGCAATATCGCCTGTAGGGTGCACAAAGGTATTTCAAACATTAACGAAATAATGCTTTATAAAGGGCAAGCTCTTTAGTGATTGAGGCCGACTTACTGGCTGTTTACAGCGATGAAATTCTAAGCGGTCACGAGTCGACCTGAGTTACTCATTCAAAATTTTGGAGCTCATCACCTTTGGCAAAAAAAGGGCTACACACCAGCAAAGTCTGAATTGTTGCGAAGAGGTAGGAGCAAAAGCAGCGTTTATTTAGTTTAAACTTTTACTCTACCTAAACTAAGCTAGACATGAAACCGAAGCAAAAAGCAACGTATACAATTTTGTTAAATTTTCTGGCCTTTTATTATATCCACAACGGTGATATTGAGATGCACGGATTTTTATGAACGCCACTGTTGGCTAATCTCCAGCCATGAGCCGTCGCATCTGCCTCTTGCTTGTTCTTTTTTCTCCATCTTTTTAATTTTTTTTTTTTTGTGTGCAAATTTTTCGTTTACCTAGTCAGCGACGGCGACAAAGACGACGGTGACATATTTACACATATAGGTGCATATATACATACATATGTATGTTGGCTCACATCCATATGTACATACTTATGTACTTATATAAATTTGTCATTTTGTTTGTACGTTTGATAGATCGCATTGTGCATACGTATGTATGTACATACGTACATATTGCGCTTGCGTTGCCTCAACTGTGTAGCTGTAGCTGTAGACGCAGCCGTTGAACTTGGCTTGGCTTGACTGGCTGGGCTTGACTCGACTTGGATAGTATGCGCGCGCGACTTCATCAACTCGAAACGCAAAATTCAAATTTTAGTCGCTGCGCTAAAGTCGCCGCCGCTGGATCGTTACTTTCGAAATACGCTGGCGAATGTGAAGAAGCAGTAAAACCATTTAGGTTCAAAAAAATAAATAAAACAATTTTTACCAAAGTAATAACGAATTAAAAAAAAATTGAAGTTATAGTCAAGGGAGAGAGAGAGTGAGAGTAACAAAATTTGGATAGCTGCCAAATAAGCCGAATGTCATACATACATACATACATACATGTAAGGTGTGCGAATAGTGAAAAAGTAGTTGCAATACGCGTAAATAAAAGTACTGAAAGAAATGGAGAAACAGTAAAAATGCAATAAAAATCAAATTACATACCTGCAACTTGGAGGTAATAGTAGTAGTAGCTAATAGAAATTGCTTTTGAGCACAGGCATGCCACGCATTTGTTGATGGAATGGGTGCAGCTCAACAAGTGGCAATATTTACGAAAGAAGTTAAAAAAAAAACTGAAAATTATATACGTACATTTTAATAACGGACAATTCAAAACTGTTTAGCACTATTTTTTAAAAGTGAAGTGCAATTTTTAGCTTATTCTAGCATTTATGCCACAAACTGGTACGCGCTTGCGTATGAGTGTTCTCCTGGCAGTTGGCGGGACTCGGGAGCGTATGAGTGTTGTTGGATGCTTTTTAAGTAACTGATTGGAAGAGGGGAAAATTAAGAAAGTCTATAGATACCTACTAAAATTTCTGTGCAAGTTTAAAAAAATATTTGTAAGTAAAAATATGAACTCGAAGGAATTTTATATAAAATAATTTAAAATTTCCGAAGCTAATTAAAAAAAAAATAACGTTTAATTGACAATCTGAAAGCTGTTACTGATATTTATAATACATCCGCTGCTCCATAACCTAAAAAAAAAACTTAAATATGTTGCAACAGCTGTGAACCAGAAAACTAAAAAAAAAAAAAAATACCTACGCCCTATTTATGTATAAAAAAAATTATTCACCTTACGGTTGTGATTTTTTTCTGATTTCTCATCGCAAATTACACAAAAAACTCTACGTGCAAACTTGCGGTGCAGCAAGCGTTTTGTTTGCAGTTTTTGGCTAGCTGTGGAAAAAATTTCGTGACTTTCAAGCTACAATCGTATAGAGGTGAGCAATTTTATTATTTAATATTTGTAGTTAAATTTTACATACTTTTAAATAAACCAAATCAATTATGAGCTACTAGTTACTAACACTGCTGCAACAGCATAACTAACCTTAACCGCCAGCCGCCTCCCACACTCCAATACTTACTCCTTCCATTTCTAAACATACTCGCACCAATTCTTTGTATGGCACTTTTACAGATCGTTTTTGTTTTTTTTTTTTTGCTCTGCGCTTATTTTAAATTCTATTGTACTACAATAAAATCGTTAATCGGCTTTTATTTACTTGTTGTTGTTGTTTTTGTTATTTTGCCGTCTATATACATGTTGTTGTTGCTATTGCTGACGCTATGCGCAGGCATTGTGTAAACTGCTTAGTTAGTTGCAGCAGCAGCATTGATTATTTTTTCCATTTACTTATTGTTGTTGTTGGCTACTTAAAAATAATTTGAGCTAATTCACCAATACGTACCTTTGTATGTATGTACATACTACATATTTGTTGTTGCGAGATTGCATTGCATGTTGGTTACGGTCGCCGCCGCATTGAAGGGAGCTTATGGAACGGAAGGCTTTAAAAAAAAAGCTGTAAATTTCTGGTGGAAGTAATAAAATACTTTGTTATTTTTTTTAGTAATTTTCTTCAGCTTAGTAGAAAATATAAGACAAAATTAGTGGTACATTACATATGTATGCATGTATGCATTTATATAAGACCTTATCACCTTACAAGCATACAAAAAAAGTTTGCTGAAAGTATTTTTGCAAAGCAATTTCGAATTAGTTTTTTTTTTACATAACACAGGGCGACACTTACATTCGGAAATACATTTTTTTAATTGCTCTATTGGAATAACCAATTATTTCCCAAGCAAAAGTGTAATGTTTTTTGGCGAGCTTTTATCTATTTAGTAATATTAGGATGGTATGCTGAGATTTGGTGGTGGTGGTGGTCATGAAAAATGTAAAAATGCGACCCTTATGTTCGGCAAAAAAAAAATCGAAATTGTTTAAAAATGTTCAATTATTTTATTACTGTCGTCAGATGTGTAATTTACAGCATTTGGAAGACCATTGTTATTCAGAGAATAAGAAATATTGGGCTTTGGCAAAGTAAACGTTTTTTTTTGGAAATTAGTGTAAATAAAGAAGAAATACG